ACATTAAAAAGGTGAGAACTACTAGTCAAGCATGTCCATGCGTCCACCGCTATCAAACGACCACATCTGTTACGAGACCCTATTTAATGTCCCCTTTATAGTTTTTTAATTTTAAACTGTACTTGTATTAAGAGTCCATTTGCGTTAAGAAACCACGGTTTTGGAAAACTCGAAGTTGGTCTCTTCATACTAGGCTGACCTTATATAAAAATAAGAAGAGGGTGATAATCTAGTACCAATAGAAAAAATATAACACAGTTTAACTCAACAAGGTAAAAATCCTAACTAACGGCTACGTCAGGAACTGATGATCCTACAAAACAAACAGAAAAAAACACCTAATGAACACTCATAAAACTGTAGAAGGGTTTCTTTTTTCGTTGGCATGGCACTCGTCAGGATATGTCTGCCTAATCATGTAAGGCATGGTAAATATGCAAGAAATTGAAATACAATCCAAGGAAATATGGTTTTATTGAAGACCGTAATAAAATTATCTCAGCTTGTATTGCAGCCCCTCCAGTAGAACTTCTCGTCTGGGTAACTGCACACACTAATCCAGGAAGTCCCGTGTTTATACCAGCTATGAGATGGAAACTCGACAAGGAGGCTGGTGTGAGGAGTACTGAGGATATTGATACAAAAAATAGTATTTTATAACATTGTCTTTTCACGAAAATTATTGTGCCGTAATACGGGTAAGAAGACATTTACGGTGAATGAGGTCAATATTGTTTTTATATTTCAATCCAATAAACTGATTCATCTTTAATTATCAGTTGACTCGATAGCATTACAGTATCGACTTAGATGTAAGTTCATGTGTTGATTCATTTAATGATCGCTAGATACCTTCATAGTCAGTAACAAAAGCGATACCAACAACAGCCGAACTAGAAAAGGTTTCCAGAAGAGAAACACCATACCAAGGCGTTTTCCGTATTACTATAATTAAATGTTACTTAAATTTCACATCGGTGTTACATTACAAAGCTGTATGATTTCTCTGATTATCAGGAACCATTTTAAACTTGGCTGAATACTTGTGTTTATCACATTCTTGACATTATATATTGGCAACTATTTGTTTCTAAATTCCTCCACATACCTAATATACATGTTCAGTCGCTAAACCTGTACAGCGAATCCGTGAAAGTAACCCAATCTCGTGGTCAGAATCTGAACGTTGACACATATTTCTCGATATACAATCTCCCGGCAGCTTTGTTTTATACTTGAAATAAATTTACTGTATCTCGCATCTTGCATGAACATGTTTTTCAATTTTCAAAAAATATAAAAAAATAAAAAAATAAAGATATTGCTAAACGTCGCCCCAAAGAAAAAATATGAGACAATTTGACAGACACTGGAAACATGATCCAGAAAAACAAAAAACAAAAAACAAAAGGAAAGACATCATGAACTGGACAAAACTCCTGTAGAAATACCAGGTCCTCCTGAATGGTCAGAATGTCCCTAGCTCCTGTTGTAGCGCCTATACTACTGCCTATCAGAGTGACTAGAAAATAAACAGCGTTATACTTGCTATTTATTTGTACTTAATAGTATTTTCAAAAATCCTTGCCATTCTGAAATGTGTTGAAAGAAGTTTTAGGTCTGAGCCATATGTTCGAGCATGCCCGTCTCGCGCTCGCGCGCTGAAGTCCGGGCCCTTACAGATCACCTCTTTAATTGGCAGTGTTATCAGAGAATATGAAACGAACACCGTCCTGTAGATAAAACCTTACACCCAGGAATCAAAGAAAGCGAGTGTATAGGGATCTTATCCACTCTCATTAGTAAGAATATATGGGAATTATTGGGTGCTTTGTTATCTACTCGATGTTTATTTTAATGGTAGGTGATGCAAGGCAGTAGTGAGGATCTATAATGTGACCGCTGCTATGTTTATTATCGGCTTACTAAAGTAAAACTTACACGTTTAATATTGTTTAACAAACATCAGGGAAAAAAATCTAAAGCTAGGGAACAAGTCAAAAGTCGGTTGTCTTAGCTTGTAATAATCGTGTCTGTTACTGTAGTATTTGTCAGTAACCGGTAAAGTATTATTTTGAATTTTTCAATATTCTCCGTTGTTTTTTTTAATTTAACATGATAGACGATAGTACTTCGTATTCTATCCAACATAATTTGAACAACCTCTGTACATGTCATACATGTATCAATTTTATGACTGTAGCAAGCTTTCATATTGTCATTTTGTTCTCAACGGATGTCATATTCCATGTGTTTGAGTAACGAAAGCATCTCCTTATGCCAATGTTGCAGGTTTTATATTGTACATTTCTTATTGAGAATCCCCACCCCCAACCCTCACCCACCCACCCCTGAGCATATACATCTTTGGTTTGAAAACAAATATTTCGCAGATAAAATTTGCTGTGCATATAAACCTTAGTCTGGCGGTATAAATGTTTGTAAAAATATAAATAGTGTTAATTGTCTCAAGAAAGAGGAATTTCAATGTATAGGGAAACCATTTTGATATATTGGTGTATATCTATGAAACAGACGACCCGAAGTGTCTCAGCAAAGCTGACTTGTAGAATCCTGGTATTTTGTAGACGTCGTATCTTAGAGTTGTGTTCAAAACAAAAACTGGTTCTTGAGAACATAATCATTTATACAGGTTGTTTACGAGACATACCATCGGGTTCATCTGTAGGCACAATCTACGGGAAATCTAAAGGAAGTATTATAAAGCTTATCATCGCAATCAAAAACTCTCGCTGCATAAAGACTTTCTTCGCAAATAGTTTTATCGTTGTTTTAAGTTTCATTATTTCCGTTAATATATCCTCAATGTACTTGTATACAATTCCTACACAACAAACTGCAGAATACCTCCCTGCAATAAACCGTTTAATTGTGCAGATTTACAACGCCGGAAACACGTGACTATTTCCCAATCGTCCGTGAGAAAATAAAATTGGCCATGTTATCCGAGTTCCGTACGAGGAGGCGGTAGCTTTGATAGATTTTTATAACGTTAATCTGATACGGACCAATGGTATTATGAAACTTAGGAACTATCAAAGGAACGTGGAAGATTTCTGTATCTTTCTTCAAAGAAACGATCTATTATTCGAACAGATTTATGTGTGCACGGATTTCCAATTTTTGCCTGAAGAGGTATATCATTTTTATCCAGATTCAAGTGTTTTTGTTGTGGTTTCAGTGCATTTTTCTCAGATACTGTTTCGTAAACAAATGCATCAGGAACAGCGCTATCAGAGACTCCACAATTCGTTTTTGGAGACCAGAACATCTTTTCCTCTTTTTCTTTTGCATCTCGTACAGTGTCCCTGTAGTTTTGGTCTAAGTACGATTGACTGAAATCACCATTTCCATGTTAATCGTCTGTATCTTACCAAAACAAAAGACAATTTATATAAAAAAGATTTATTTTTATAATTATGCATATCAATAAAGATATTAAACGATATTAAACGTATGAAAATAGTTTACAGTCATTTACAACAGAAAGGAGATGTGTACAACAGTGATAATACTGTCCTTTAGGGACCACACATTCACCAACACGCTCAGACGTGAATCTCTTACGCGCATGCATCATTTATAAAAACACACATACACACATTCATTTGTTCATTTTCACTTTATAAACATTTGTAACACGAACACACATACGGTGAACAAGAGACTCTACAAACATTTCTTTTTTCAAGTCGTAACGAGTATTATCGTGATTTCTTAACACAAAATCACAATCATTCAATGTAATATACAGCAATGTAATCTTTTAGTATATAATTATACATGTACCCTTTATCGCCCATAGCACTTGGCAAGGATTTAAATTTTAGTTGTAACCCTTGGTTGAATACAATATTGAACAGTGCATCAAAGAGATGAAGCACTTTTAAACAATTAAAAAGCAATTAAAAGATTATTAATAAATAAATGGTTTAACAAGCGACCTTTTATATGTCAGTTTTAAAAGAAAAGACCATAAACGAGAGAAGTTTTGTAAGCAATGCTACCTTTTGTTTGATGGTCATATCCCTGATACAATTTAATAAAAGTAGGCACTATCACCTGGCAGACATCACAAAATATAGTACGTACTCAAAAGAGCATGTTACCGATTTTACATGCCACAGATTTTGGAGCTATTCATGACACTTTTACCCAACACATATATATATAATATGCATAATCAGATTTCAGTATGTTTAGAAAACATATTGTATATTTAACGTTAATATTGCACACCTGAATCAAAATAGCTCTTTGGAAAACGCTTATTCATAATATGAATGTGACTTGATCACGTAGATGCTTGATTTTATGCTGAGACGTACACTTGAGCTGTATGACCTTTACTGATGACCTTGATACTGTCAACGTGAAGTTACTGCTCGTTATCGCGCATGATATTTTCGATGATAATGTCAATGAGACGGAATCAGTTGGGATGATTACTGTGTAGCTAAGAATACCTTTCACTTGCAGATTCACATCACGTGACATTATCGGCGCTATGATCTCTGGGCAAGTATGTCTTTAACACTCGAGGAAGACGGCGTATAGACACAAATTTCGTTCTGAATCATGCACCGCCAGATATTTTTGGCGCTCTAAGAGTTTTCGAATGTTGCTGAGGGTTTTCGGTATTTTCTTTTTCTGACGGATACAAGTTATATAGGGTTGAACTGTACTATTTACAAAACATATCGTTTATAATGGCAGTGAATGCTTAAATGCAATATGATAAGGCACATTGTTTTTATGTAAATACGTTATCTTTCGATCAGTATGAGCTGCAATCGTACAGGAAATGCCATAATGTTCGAATTATATCAAATGGTAATGATACTACCATCTAAAAGGAATTGAATGAGAAATTAAACTCATTGTTTATTTGAAAGGGTTGACGTTATTGCGATGTGTAAGAAACACCCGTATTTAATAAATGCTTTGTTTCCTGTTTCTTGATTGATAAAACGTTTTTCATAATTCCTCAATTGCAACAACCAATATACAACGTCACACGCATGACGTTTTTTCTCATCTTCCAGCACGTGTCACAACCGAAAGTTCTCATTTGAGTAACCCATTATACTTTCAACAGAATATAAATGACGCAGTTGCTGTGGGCCGCCAAATGAAGCATTAGTCCACAACAAATCCTCGAACTATACTTCTCAATGTCTTCTTCACTCGAATGAAATCTTCAGAACTGAGATCCAAGCTGTTTCGTGACATTTTGACGTCATATAGCTTGTCAATATCAGGGGTGTAACACACACGTTACATCATACAATTTAAAAGTAAACTACAGCGTCTTTGCTTCACGTTTGGCTATATCTGAGCAATTGTGTAGTTATCATTGTCTTGTGTTTGTAATCCATGATTTATTTCCTGTCCAAATTGCCCGTACGGGCTACCATAAGTCTGTTTTTCCCCTCCCAATGCCCCACCCACAACGTTAACCCCACCCACTCCCGCACCCCCTCCGCCTAGTCATTGCTGCATTTGATGCGCGTATGGATTATGTTGCATAACGTTATTGTATTCTTGCGCCTTGAGTCGAAGACAAGCAATGCTGGAGCCGATGTTTGGGGGAGGTGGGGTGTAGGAGTGGTTCGCCAGGGCACAACTGTTTGATGTCGTGGAGGGACTGTACGCGGGAGGGGCGTACCACGACAGGTTGTCAGTGTTCATAGATGATGGGCGGGGCGTGATGGGTTGTTCAATGGGCGTGTTTTCTGGCCGCCCGTAAAGGTTTCCACGTTGGGCCATCATATTACGTTCATTTCGACGGAATTTTGCTCTTCTGTTTTGGAACCATACCTGAAATGTAATAAAAACAAATTTAAACATTGTTAGTGAAAGAGGCTCTCATAGATATTGTCACAAGTTGGTTGGAAGGTTATTGGCTTTTGGGACTATACCAATGTCAGTGATTGGCGAGCTATACTTTATGGATAATTAATTATTTTCAAAGCCTTTTCAGGGTTTGTCGTTCGAACAATTTTCTCAACGTAATGTTGTCATTATTTTACTATGCATTAACGTAGTAAACTGTGTCAAATCTGAAACAGACACATTCTAATTTTGGTAAATGAAAATCAATAGCATCTCACCAGGTATTAACACGTCTGGTTAAAAAGATGATTACCTGATGAAAAGACAAATCTGTTACTACATATCAAACTGACATATCTGTAGCTACAGGTAAGACAGACATACGCAATACTGTAGGTGAGACTACGTGTAAATACAGGCAAGACAGACATACAAACTATAGATGAGACTTGCACCATTGATACTTATAAATAAAAATCGGCATACTTTTTGCTGCATTTGGGGCAGACATACCTTTTCACCATACTTCAGACTATCAGTACGTGCTTCATGTATGGCAGGTGTACATATTTAAATACAGTTGAGACTGACGCAACATTTTTAGGATAGAGGAATGCAGCGATACTAGACTGGGTCGATCGTCGGCGACTAGCTTATAGCTAGTTCTCTCAATTGGTAGAGCGTCCGTCTAGAGTTCGAAAGGTCCCTGGTTCAAATTTTGATCTGGCCATGCGTTTGTCTGTCTCCTATTGCACTAGTAAGACTCGTTACATGTGAGACAGACACGTTTACTACACCTGAGACGGGTGTACCTGTCACTACAGGTGAGAAAGCCGTACCTGTACTCTGGCCTCGCTGAGGTTCACTCTCCGCGCCAGTTCCTCCCTGACGAAGGCGTCCGGGTAGTGTGTTCTCTCAAACACTCGTTCTAACGCTGCCAACTGTGTACTGTTAAACGTCGTTCTGTTTCGTCGCTGCTTTCGACGTCGTTTGCCATCTTTGTCATCTTTATCATCGTCATTGCCTAAAAAGATAAAAAAAAATAAATAGAATGTCTGTTATAGCAATGCCTTCAACCACACCCATCTTCTGTCCGAATCGGGTCAAGGTCACCATGTTCTTAATTCACCATTGTATACACGTCGTCTTTCAATATAAAACTATCATATGCTAATTAATTTTTGAAGTTATGTGAACCACTCAAGTTACATTTAAAAAGTGTATCTTCGTACAAATATGCCGCTTAAAATATTTTTATAAACATCCAAACATCAGCTATATATGATGAGGATCTCAAATCATGTATTCGCCTTTATTCATGTAAACATTGTTTACATATTGCGGATCTGTATTGAGGGTTGGGTGCCCTATATTTACCGTACACCAATAACCTTATTGTGCCAAATCTGTTGGAGCCCTGACAAACAACGCTATGCAGGAAGACTGTTTACGATACCTAGGACATTTTGTACCTAGCCCATTAGAGTGAAGGAAAATGTTAATGGTTATAGGGAAACAGTAAGCTGTATTTCTCTTCACTCTTCTCCTTCCTCCTTATCACCTTATCCTACTCTTATCTGCCTCCTCATCAGATCTAACGTCTCCATATAAAATCTAAGGGCGTTGTTATATTCAGATCGTTTGTTATATTAAGATCTCTGAATGACACTTATATCTCGAGTAGGAGTAGATGATTTTGTTTCATTGCATCACCTAAGAACAGTTGCATAATACATGCATGATCAACAACAAAAAAGCGGTTCTATTCTCGAATTATAAATGTTAAGAGGATATGTGTATCGAAAGCATAAACCTTGTATATCGAATACGACATACATGTGAAATGATAGGTATATTACTGTGTAAAATTTGTGTCCGACCTAGGAATAAAATACGCGCCAATGAAAACATTTTTTTTTTTTTGTTTCTCGATTAATTCGTGTTTGAATGTGAAAAAAATCCCTTCAAAGAAAAGTAAAAAGATGTTTCTAACCAACTAAAGTTTAAATACATCTGAACGTAAACTACTTCTTACAGCTCCCTCTCGACACGTCTGAAGGAATAAGAAACCTTGTTCCAACATATCAAAACTACTTATGCCCAAATGTACAATAACTGAATTAAACGTGTATTTTTATGCATTTATTTAATTTTTCAGAAAGTCGATAGACACTGTTTTAGTTGGTAATGTCTTTGCTCTGCTCTCTAAAGCAGACTATGCATGCCTGTTTTGGTTGTCGGGCGTTATACTATTCGTCCTAATGAAGCTACGACTAATACGCGAAGAAGGTTAGGACCATCCTAACCCTAACACATAGTACGGCAATGCGATAGGTCGTCTTTGGTAGCTGTCTTTTGGTGCACTGCGTTTTAAATGGTCGCTGTGTGTTTGTGTAGCAATGTTCCAAGATGTCTGTCCTACGCTACCCCAAAGTTCTTGTACACAATCTCAAATGATTTCGTCCCTATGTTAGAGGGGGAAAATACAAGAGTGTTGTTATGGCATGTGTACGCTTTAGTTGATGGTACGCGCTACCTTACATATATAGAACACATGTGCATATCATAACTTATCTACTTAACCTCGCTGTACGCTTCCCTTTCATCCGTGACGCTCGGGCCCTACTGGTCCATCTTGTTGGGCAAATTAAAACGTAAAAATGACATGAGAGGGATAGCAAATGGCGCCATCTTACGGCATTGAGAAGAAGAGGGAGAGAGAGCTCTCCTGTTTCCGTAGCCTCTCGACTTGACTTATCGTTGCAATGGGGGAAAATCAAATGACAGTTTCTCTACAAGTGGTAAGGGTGATTTACCGGACCTTAAACACTTCATACCAATGTTTCCGCCGCTAAATAGCAATGTTCACCGTAAATTTATCATCAAATTAGAATCGTTCGTATTCAAGCGCAGTCCGTCCACTCAAGACATCAAAGCGAAACTCTTGAGGTCTGAGGCATTTAATCTATGTCCAAATATTTTTTTTGCTACATTTTCATCAGCATCATGCTATTATTTATTGAATCTCAAGACATATATAATAAGATTTTTTTTCATTTAAAAAATATGAACAGTCCTTTAAAACATTCAAACTATTTGACTAAAAGAGACCATTAAGACCATCCACTTGAAATTTCAAACTAGCTGAAGTCGAGCCGATGTTTCCGAGGGCGACCACTTCATCGAAACCATGTCTACATCATAAATATTGGAAATATTTACTTGAAAATGTTAAGCATTCGAATACGAGAACCTTCTTATAAAGTGCTCTTCGGGTTGACTGAAGTTAAATAGATTTTCTTACTGGTAGAAAACGAGGCAGTCAAGCATAAAACTCAAAACATATTTGTTGTCGAGACAAACTACAAGTATATATATACATTATTACACACATATATATCATATACATAGTATCAGTAGATGATATCAACATGTACTCAAAAACTTTGATGGAGTATTCAATAACGGCACACGAGATACAACTTCAAAGACACTACCTGAATAGGTGCACGGAATACACGTGCGTACATGTTTGATACATCGAAAAATCTTCAGAGACATACAAAACTCGTACAATTATGGTATACAAACCAAAGCCGGAATCCCGTATGTATTATATATGCAGACGAAGATTCATTCAAGTATCGTCAACTTCATATCATATCAACTTATTATGTACAGTTAGTTATAGGAACACATTGCTTAATATTTACTATCTTTAAATTAAATTTACATATGATAGTAACATGAGATCACAACTCTTAGCTTTGAATCTGATAAATTTGAACTAATGTTGTATTGACAGCTTATAAACTAACCGCTTTCCGTTAAAACATGTTTATATTTGTCGTCTTCAAGTTGATGATACTTAGATTAAATCGTGCAGACATCACCAGGATGCTCAAGTTCTGACAATACTATTTTCTGACTATCACACAGCGTAAGTGCCATCTGTTATATGAAAGCAAGAATAGAGGGCTATTTATCCCTTTGATTAAAGTATTATGAGGCAATGAGGAAAAGACCCGTTGTATGAACCCGTGTGAGTGCGTGTCTAAATACCCCCTTCATTACTGTGTCAACGTTGTCTCTGCGACGAGGTGTGCATATTGGATGTAAAATATTAAAGATATGTTATTCTGAATACAAAGCATTTGGAATTAAGTTTACTTCAACTGTGAATTATAATAAATGGGTTTATTGATATCAAGAGATAAACATATTGTTGTTCTGTCATTATCAGTCCTCGACTGATCCAACTTTTTAGCAAACAACTACGAGCGCCTGCGTTTTGGAATCAAGGGTGGTCGGTATACACATTGCGCATTTTTAGTCGTCAAATAAACTTTCTTTTACAAAAATAAAGGCAAGCAATAACCACAAATCACATGTAAATAACACTAAAGAACCTCTGTGGCACGAACCGAGGCACAGACCACGGTCTACAGAGGAGGCTGCCTCCTGGCCGAGAAGTCTTATGAACGTGTAAAACATTCTGCAATAGGCTAAGATAGACTGTGCTGTCAAACTGAAGACACAACGGAGGATCGGAGATTTATACTCGTGCCACTGAGGCACGTGAAAATCCGCTTTGATAGGTACACAAGCGGCCCACCATTTCTCTCTCTATGTACGCCGTCGCTAGAGATAGAGAAAAGGAACATGTGTTACGGAGGCTCAATTCACAGTTCTGGGGCCAACATCAATCAGGGCATTATAAATCTAGGTTTTCCAAATTGACATCGATATATATTTCTGCACTAACATTCAGGGACTCCGGTAACAAGTTTATGTGCTAAGTAATTCTCTTATCTTGGACCAAATGATAATAAAATCGTTTAGCCCCACTAGTGAAGCAATTCACTGACAGTGTCTTTAGACGCTTGATACGATTATAGCAAATTTAAGGCAACTTTTATAAACGTGTTATGTTTTTTGTTTACATTCGGGTAACACAAATACTCTGTCTTTATGTATTAACTATAAAGATGTCTTGTTTACAGATATCCGACTGTTAGTGAGGACACAGCATCACGTGATTAGCAATCGACTTCATTTAAACGCTTACAGACTCGACTGAAAGCTGAGATTCGTAATATTCAATTGCATCAGTATCACATCAACGCTTATACAAGACATTTATTGCTGAAATGTAATTAAACAACACCACGTGACGGTTAGGTAAAGTACGACATGTTCTTGGCTAGAGTTCGGTATTGGAAAATAAAACACCGTAGATCATCCAAGTATACTTTTATTAAGCACGGATAGATTGCTTTACCTCGGCAAATTGTCGAGCATGGCCATCTATATAGCCCAAGGTCGCTCTCAAATGTGCTCTGTATCCGTTAAGGAAGCTTTGGAGGACATCGTTCTTTTGTATTATCTACTTAAGTTTTATAACTTACGTTAAGTGAGTCACACTGACAATTTGGACAAATGGACAAAGACATTCACTCTAACATGTACACATCATCATCAGCATCATCATTATCATCATCATCAGCATCATCATCATCATCATCATCATCATCAACAACAACAGACAGAAACCCCTCTTATTCAAACAAACATTCATACACACGGTCAAATCTGATATCATCCGATACACCCAACAGGACTTCTTTATTTCACAAACGAAAAACTGGACACAGAAATCAAATTAGACGTTGAGGTTATGCAATAATAAAAGCTGTCGAAATTATGTGTAGCCATTCCTTTATAGTCCAGATGTATTCACCACACAAGGTGCTATAGTTTGGAAATTAGACAATGTCTTGTAAATGTAGTTTAAAGAGTTCATTTTAAAACATAATGTGTCCGGTCTTACCTATTGATATTTCACATAATCGCTCGTGTCCCCATGACAATGTCGTCTCTACATACGAAAGACCCATACTGTGTTTCCCTGACGATGCTGTCTCTACATATGAAAGACCCATACCATTTGTTTCCCCTGACTGGACCGTCTCTACATATGAAAGACTCGTATCGTACGGTACTCTTGATGATGTCATAACTACT